ATTGACATGTAGTGAAACCCAATTCAATTGATACAAATCCTATCAACTTATCAGCTAATATTCAAGTATTGGTTTGTAGGGATTTGGTTGATTGGTTACAGGATTTCATCATGAGCTGACATTGGTTAGAAAAACATTGGAAAATCCGGGAGTACTGGACAGCTGTTTCGTCCTAGTTTGGGACTCTTCAGCAGTACGCAACCACCGAACGCAGGACCTTCTGGTTACAAGGCGAGCTCGTATGCCATTAAGCCACTGGGACCCGATCCAATGACCCATGAATTCTAACTTCAGCCGCTTCAGCTAATAGTATTATTTTATTAATAATGTCATACCATTTTTATATAGCTTAGATCAATATTTAGAAGCCTAATAGGTAGATAGATTTCTTCAAGTCTGCAGACACACCCTGTTAGTGACTCATCATAAGCATAGAAATAAACGTTTACAGTTTTTCAAGGAATTAACTAACACCTACTTTGAACAAAAGAAAATTCTATTATATTGTTATAAATACCTTTCGTTCATTTTTTTCAGAACGGAACTGTAAGGAAGAAGAGACTAATGAGACTTGAAGGAATGTTTATTAGGACAAACGCCTCGTAGATACATAAATGTGGTAATCCACATCTCGAATGGTTTATCATGCACATCATTCGCAAATTGGTCGAATATCCCTATAAATTCATAGCTTGTTGGATTCTCCACATTGTTTCTAACTTTCTTCTTCTTCTCACAGTTTTGTTCTTCAATTGCCTTTTTCTAGTGTCTGAAGCATACTGTTGCTTTTCTGAATTCTTTTACTGATATACTACTTATATCTGGCTATAAGTAGTACTAGTGGGAAGCCGTGACCAGTAGGATGCAGCAGGTTGAAGATGAGGCGGTAACTTAACATAGAAGACATTGCAAAATAGTAGCGCTATGTCATCAATTGGCAGAAGTTAGAATTCAAGGACCATGGATCTGTCGGGTCCCAGTGGCTCAATGGTCTACGAGCTTGCTTCCCTTGTAACCAGAGGTCCTGGGTTCGAACTCCCCTGTGATGGGTGCGTACTGATGAAGAGTCCCAAACTAGGACAAAACAGATGTCTGGCAGTACTCCCAGGTTTTCCAGTGGTTGTCTAACTGATGTCAGCTCATGATGAAATCCTCCAGGCTTACTTTTTTTCTGAAGACTATCTTCAGTGTCAAACCAAAGTAGGCAGCTGTTGATGAAAGTTCAAGGAATCCTGTTCAAAATGCTCCTGCTAACAAACCAGCCAAGTTTTTTATTCTCTCACGTTCCCCAGTGAACCATAGGGCTTCAAGCTAGTGGCTTGAAGTTTCTGTTACACATTAACTCTGTAACAGCACAACATGGTAGGATTTGGGGTAGCGGAATTTTTTTTATCTGGGGCAAAATGACCTACTTAGAATTTAGGTTATTTCGTAAGGATTTGAAAGATGAATTCCAATGTAGGTGTCACATCGTGAACCAACATAAACAATTAGAGATCATTTAGAACTAGTTGTTTCGTCCTAGTTTGGAACTCTTCAACAGTACGTATCCAGGACTTTATTAAGGGTCGATCCTAGAGCCTTAAGGTTATGAGATCACCAAGTATGAAAACTATTAAACCACTTCGACCCGGTGAATTCTAACTTTCCCTCCGGATTCGATCTCTGGTTGGCGTGGTGATGGATGGGCACTGCAAAAGTCTCCTAAATTAGGACGTTGTATTTCATCAGGCAGTTAGGACTAGAATCAATAGTAAAACACTTTATGTTGGGATGACTAGTATAAAAACTTTACAATATCTTATTTGGCTGTGACACTTTTAATGTCTTAGGGAAAGCGTGCTAGACAGGGCACTACCAACTTACTGGGAAACAAAAAGTGAACGGTACTCTTTATTGTTACTTTCTTTAATACATTGTTGTTAATATTTTCACTTTATTTATACTTCTACTTGACAATATTATCAATGTAAATGGCCTGTGTTGAATTATTATCCCTGTATTATGCGGTGAGAATATCAGATGCAGTACTGTGTTATACTGCTGAAAATTCCTAAATACTATTTGAAAATAAAGCAATTATTATCATTAGTATTGTTAGTAAACACAATACTGTATCAACAATATAAGAATAAACCTTGTGCATTGTGGTACACTATAATTCCATCATGCGTGAAATTTATTTTGATAAAGTTTCATAGTGTTATACAGTAATGTCTACTGATGCGACCACGTTTCGAGAACAATTTATTAATGCTCATAATCATATCAAGACATTACTCACACAACTTCCTGAGTTCGTTTATATAACTCCATTATTTCAATTCATCGTTTGACTTGATCGGTACAGGTAGTAGTATTTTGCATATTTCTGGTATGAGTGATGAGTCATTGCATCCCATTGTACGTGTTGGGTGTAGACTCGATGAACCAGGCAGGATTCAGTAATCAACCTCTCTCTCTCCACCTACCTGTTATTTCTTAGAATTTTAACCCTCTCCCACCCGATTGTGTGGTTGTGTGTTAATGCATGCATGCAGTGCAGTCGCTGAACTGTTTTCTAAATTACTTAGCTTCTCAGGGTCCACCATTCTAACCTTAGCTAAATTCTTATGTTCTGACAAGCAATCTGACTACCCTAGACCTACTAGTTTGACCTATGTAGTCGACTTAACTCACAGTCACTGCAAGATATTCTGTAAATTATATTATTTTGTTTAATTGGGTCAACCGACAGGGTCCTTCAACCTACAGAGCTTGTCCTACCTGAGTGAGTTTGTAGGTTCAAGTGCCACTCTAATCTCTGCTTTATTAAGAATCCTACGTGGGGAGGGTCTCAGATGTCCCCTCCTTAGATGGTATAAAAGTAGATGACTTATATTCTCTCTTATTTCTGTTATCATTACTAGTTTCACAATTATTTCTTTGTATTTCGCTTTTGGCGTTTACTGATCTTCCTAATGAATTTTATTGGATAGTTAGTTATTTAATACCAACGCTTCTTCTTCCTCTGTCTGTTTCACTTCATCATTTAGGTCTTTTCTTGTACTACTCAGTGCTACTGCTTGGTTTGCTAGACACTTTACTAAGCCAGCCTTCATAGACAGACAGAAAAACAGACAGCGGATGAGATGGGTTAAAGTCTAAATATCTGTTAGCGGAATTCGGTGGTGTTTTATAAACACTAGTGTGCAGTCTACCTTCTTCTATTCGTTTCATTTTACAATCTAACACTGGAGCTAATTCTCCTTGTTCATTTTCCGATTCAAATGTGAACTTTAGTCCCTCTACTCGTGAGTTTATGTGTGTGTGTGTGTCAAGAAGCTAGAGATGTGTACTGTAAAAGTGTCATCCACATACATCCACCATATTTCTGAATGTACATTATCTTATACTGATTTTAATTCAAATGTCTAATCATCAATTCCACTCATGTATAAAAATGAAGTGAGCTGTGTAAGTGACAATAATTTGTGCTCGAAAAATGGTCATCAGTTAATATTACTGTATAACACTGTGAGACTGCATTATTATTATTATTATTGTATCCTTTAGTTCCTAGAGGAACATAGGGCTTCAGCTGCGCACCTCCATTGACTTCGGTTTTCTGACAACTTTTTCAACATGCTCCAGGTCTGTCCACATGCTTTCATCTCCTACTCGCATGACCTCCTCCAGGTCACCCTTGGACGACCAACTCGCCGCTTCCCTTTCGGGTTCCACTCGAGGGCTTGTCTAGTGATGTCACTTGATGGTTTCCTCAGCGTATGGCCAATCCATCTCCATTTCTTTCTGCCTATTTGTTTCACAATCGGTTCCTGATTGGTTCGCTCCCAGAGATCCCTGTTGCTGATCTTTTCTGGCCATCTGATCTTGAGTATTGAGCGGAGACAGTTGTTAATGAAGGTTTGAAGTTTGTTTGAGATGCTCTTTATGACTCGCCAAGTCTCTGATGCGTATAGTAGCACTAACTTCACATTGGAGTTGAAAATCCGGATCTTATTTTTGATGCTGATTGCTGTTGACCTCCACACAGATTTGAGAGTAATGAAAGCTTGTCTTGCTTTTCCGATTCTGGCTTTGATGTCCTCGTCAGTTCCGCCTGTAGTTGAGACGATGCTTCCCAGGTAGGTGAAGGAGACTGCATCAAAAAGCCAATAAATTCCCCCTGACCTTGAGGCAACCAATCCGAAAAGCAACAGTGGGTTTTACATACAAATGACTGATGTGACTTAAAAATATCTTCGAATCATAGTGTTCACTTTGGTCAACAGGTTTCCGAATTTACTTTTTGCTCTAAATGTTGTATAGCAGAAAATGAAAAGTCTGCTTTATCATCAGGTGAAACTCATATACATGAAAATGGTTTCTCATTTCCGGTTGTTGAAGTTATACAAGATTTTATCAGTGAAAGTGTAACTGATGAACAACCATGGTTTTTATCTCAGTATGGCAGAAGAAAACAGGTAAGCATGATTCATGTTATATGCGGTGACTTGTTCGTTTAGTATGTTCTCAATTTCAGTGGCTTTATGTTTTTCTGTCTGTCTGGATTCAACATAGAACTTGGCACTGAAGTACAGCACTTCGAGTTGCCACGTTCCAAATACCACACAAAGGTAGACAAGAAGATGAGTGAAGAGAATCAATACAGTCTGACAAGTATAAGAGCGGAACAGAATGGGTAATGGTAGAAAGGAATACGAAAGATTACAGAGACTGAATACATCTGCTCCATTGACAACGATTTTGAGCCATGTCACCTATTGTATCCAGCCATTGATTCCTAGAGTCCCGAGGGCCCCAACCCGGAAGTCTGCTGCGTATCGATGAAGAGTCCCAAAGTGGGAAAGCAACAGTTGTCTGGCACCACTCCCAGGTTTGTTAAATTGTTCGCTAAACAATGTCAACTCATTATGAAATCGTGTAATCAATCTAATCGAATCCCTATAAACCAATACTTAAACATAAATAAACAGATAAATTCAAAGTTAACTCACTTAAAATGAGTCAATTTCTCTTCAGTCACCATTTGAGCAGATTGTTGACCAGCTAACGTATCAGGCCATAAACTATCTGGAAATGAATAAAAATGTCCACCAGCACTTGTTCCCAATCCAGCCCAATGATATAAATCCCGTAGACCACCAACTTCAGCACCACGATAAACACAAGCCACAAGGAAATCACGTGCTGCTAATGAACCACGAATTAGACTGCCTTCATCAGTATTATTATTACTATTCAACTGTAGAAAATTACGTCGTAGAATAATATCCCAACCGATACTTTCAGGTGATGAACGTATCAGTAAAGGTGTACTATTTTGAATTAAGAGTACATCTAATTTATTTTCATTTGAAGCCTGTTTAAGTACGGAAGAAAAATGGGTTTGTTGTTTAAAAAAAGAGAAATAGCTATGAATCATCTACAATTGGATAATGAATGATTATGAGATATACGAAGGTGTACTTCCCGAAAACAAATAGAATTCTTACAAACTAACTCTTCAGAATTAATCTGATACTCGCTGGCTACAGGAGGAAGCTGCTTGGACTTTTAGTGAGAAGTTGTGACCAGTAAGGTTCATCCAGTCGACAGTGAGGATGGATTTCCCACCGATGACAATGGTTGATGGTCGTGCTAAAATCACGTATCGGTGAAAGTTAGAATTCATGGGCTGATTGAAAGTAGATATTATAACTACATTAATTTTCGGTGTCTTCAAAACCAGACAGCAGATAAGAGCTATAGTTAGCTGACTGACAATGATGTCAACATACTAAAGTCTACCGATCAGAAAACATATGAGTGACCTAAACTTGATTTCCAGCAAAACACCTACGCACCAGATTGAAAATTTACTCTTTCTCTGATTGGTAGACTTCATTTAGCTACCAGTGGAACCAATCAGCTATATATTAATAATCCAGACAAGGTCAAAGTAATGGGTGTCGACATAAAATAGGAATTTGATTGGATGACACATCTGTTTAATAATTAATCATTCATTAGTCACCATTTACAAAGAAAAATAAGTGATGCAGTCTCACGAGACATTGTAAAGATAGGTGATGCATACTTAAGCTATTTTTAGAATAATAAATTCTAAATTAGCAAAAAATAATAATGTCATCATAGAGGGTTACGCACATGAATATGTAATTATTGAAAATCTGACATTGTAAAAATGTTGAACTTATAATTCCATTAGCGCGACGGGCGTTTCATGAGTGTGTAGTGGTGAATAATTCCATTAAAAAATTACTAGCCTTACAGCTGTCATCATTTAACAATGCATATTCACCCTTGTTGTTTAAGTCGACTTGTAGATGAACAAGGATCCTCACTACTTACTGTTTTTGGAATAAAGTAAATCATTATTATTATTATTACTTGGTAAGCTATGGTGTCATATGCAGTTAGTGTAGTGCACATCACTGCCCGGCGCCTTATTTTTATTACTCTATTAGGTTCCGAGCGAAGCACAGGGCTTCTTCACCAGGACGCTTCCATCTTGTCGTGTTCTCTGAAGTTTTCTTCAGCCTGCCTCACGATCGATCGCCCATAAACTTTCATCTCCTCACCACATGATATCCTCTAATGTTATCCCCAGACCAACGCCCAACTCGTCATTTCAGATACAGGTGCCGCCCAAGTAATGTCACACAAAGGTCCTCTCACGCTGATCGGTTGCATGAGAAAATGATTTTACAAATTTTAGGTTGAAACAGTTAAATTACTGGCATTCTCATATTAGACGAAATGATCTCATGGAATAACTACGGAGGTGCTCAAAGATAGTGGAGATGAACTCTTATCTTGACTTAAAGTACAGATATTGTCTGAGAATCAGTTTCAGTCCTACTGGACTGTTGCACATCATTGATTTTCTTAGTTCACAAAAAAGGGAAAGGCAAGTAGAAATCTCAAGGCAACTGGCTTCACTAATATATATCTTATCTAATATTTTAGGTTCAGTAAATATGTATAGACAGAGTGGTTCTTGAGACAAAAGTGAAAGAAATGGAAAAGGTATCAATGATAGATAACACCAGAAGGCAAATTTCGACTAATCAGGGAAACCGGAGAAGACCGACAAATTGACTGAAGAAGCAGCTAGAGAAAAAAGGACTGCAGGTGAACATATAGAAGACAGAGATGATGAAGATAACCAACCGACAGCGACATCAACAGGAACAATAACCAGCACCAATCACTATTACATTGGGAGAAATGTGACAGTGGTTACTTCCTTCACTTCTCCAGTCAAGAAGCATGGTTTCAACCACAGACGGATGGAACGACTGAAGATGTCAAATCCAGCTAGCCAGAATAAGAAAGGCAAGATATGCCTACATCAACCTGAAACCAGTTTGGAAATTTTCTGCACTGAGCTTCACAGAATAAAGAACAAGATTCAGATATTCAACATAAATGAGAAGTCAGTCAGTTAATACTTCTATACGGGTTAGAAACTTGCACTGCGTGTGTGCGTCACGAAAAGCATTTTCAACAATTTGGAGACACTTATCAACAGCCGCCGCCTTCTCAGGCTGGCTCGACAGTGAAGATCAAATGGCCAGCTGGTCGGCCAGAAAGAATTAGTTACAAGAAACTCTGGCTTACAACAAATCAATCAAGAGACAACTGCTCAACAAATATGTAGGAGAAAATGCAGATGGATCGGACACATACTGAGAAGACCGTTGAATGACATCGCTAACAATACCCTCAAACAGAACCCCAACGGGAGGCGACGAGTTGAGCGTGAGTCCGAGAATGACATAGGGGAGAATCAGGGAATATGGGTAATAGTGCGGCCAGCTACAGAGGACCACAGAAAATAGAACACAAGAGAGATGTGCGGTCGGATCACGATGTTTCACTCGGAACCCAAGGGAACAATTATATATATATATATATATTATTATTATTATTATTATTGTTATTATTGTATCCTTTAGTTCCTAGAGGAACATAGGGCTTCAGCTGCGCACCTCCATTGCTTTCTGTTTTCTGACAACGTTTTCACCCCGCTCCAGGTCTGTCCACATGCTTTCATCTCCTCCTCGCATGACCTCCTCCAAGTCACCCTTGGACGACCAACTCGCCGCCTCCCTTTCGGGTTCCACTCGAGCAGTGGCTTGTCTAGTGATGTCACTTGATGGTTTATATATATATATATATATATATATATAGAAGAAGCACTTACTGAATTCAATATTGTAGAAAGTAATTGATCAGGTGATGAACACTGATTAATACCTGGATAAGACTCTTGAATATTTGACCAGGATAATTGTTTTCCAGAAGGTAATATAAAACCAGATTCTTTCGTTGTAGCATCAGATATAGGCTTTGCTTGAGAATTATTGTCGTTTAGTTTGATTGGTACTGTACACCAATTCTTATTACGAATCTTCAAACGTGGTCTAAAAACAGGTTAACAAAAGTAGTAATGGACAGCATAAATAAAAGTTTGTGAGGTCTAATAAATCATAATGAGTCATAGAGTGATCATGAAGGTGAAACAGACAGCTATTAAGTAAAAGTTGGAAACTAGGTGTTGTCATCTCTTCTAATCCAACCGTCGATTTATACCATTTTTAAACTTGCAACGCAAACGAAGTAGATGTTTAGTGCTCTCTTCCGCTTTCAATAATCGTTCCAATGTTTCTGAAGGTTATGCTGTTCTTTCCACATTTCTGTTTTGATTTCTTCTTACATGACTTATTACTTGCCTTATTCTAGGTGAAACCGATTTTGTTAGGTATGCTGATGATCTGACTGTTTCTACTGCCGGCGATTACCTCTCAGTCAGACTGTTCCAAAATGATTAACTTTTTATCAGAAATTAGTCAGTGGTCCTTCACAAATGGTCTTAAGCTTAATCCCTCCAAATGTCACGTTGTTAATTTCACTTTCAGATGTAAGCATGACTTAAATGAACTGGTTAGTTCACGTGTTTCCACTAACATAAGTTGAAACTAAATCGAATGTAAAAAAAAAACTAATCACTCGCATTGTGTATTTGATCTCATCTCTCTTGATCTTTTCACATTACGATATTTCATCCAACCGTCTATGTGAAGGAATAAAAACAATCTCGTATCACTCAGTCTCTATCTAATTTTACAGTTTGTTGATTCTTGTATTCTATTCTTTTCCATGCTATGCAGGAAAGATATTGTTACACTGCGAAGGCCACTGACTGACATATTTTTATTTTTTTTATTTTTGATTTACAGCTTGATTCCACAACGTATTTTTGGTACAAGTATGGAATTTTCAGCGTGGATATCGGTAGCCCAAAATTCGCAGGCCGACCATAGATATCGGGTGTGCGTCGGCGTAGGCTCGAACCCCGGACCATGTGCATGAAGCACACAAAGAGGAAGGAGATGGCTAGAGATGCATGTGTAAAACAAATGTCATAAAAATCTCAATCGATATAACTTCACAACCTTGTCCATCGATTTAGCCTCCTTACCTAGTACTCGATGGGAACCTAATTTCAATATTGCTCACCTTATTATGTCATTTAACACGTGAGAGAGAGAGAATGCAGATACCTATGATCAAAGAGAGTTAGTCTTTTTTGTATCTTCCACTTTCAATGGCCATCTCTCACTTACAATCATAAAGGACAACAGAGTAAACTGCTACTGAGCAGTACACACATCCTTTGGTTAACAGTCGGATATCACGTCTACTAAGCCAGACATGGAGTAAGTTAGCGAATGCGAAACCAGACACTTCTGTATCCGTGTTGAGATTTCGTCAGCGAACAACTTCGTTGGGCCTGGCTTATGCAACTTGTCATGTAAAAGAAGTGGTCAACACAATCTACCACTTCACTCCTGCCTATCTTTGCTCTAGGAGTTGATGTTATCCAGTCCACGCATGTAGCATCACCTTACATTTGAAAGTAGGAGCGAATCACTTGCCAAATATTCGAAAATTGCTGATCCTCAAGGTGTTCAGGAGACCCTGTCTGTATTTTGTCAGAGTCTTCATCTAGGAGGGCGGACTATATCATCTTTACAATCTAAGTCTGTTGCTACACAACTACTAATATCAGTACATCAGTAGTATATGGTTTTAACTACATATCTGCATGGTTTCGATTTAATATGTATAATTCTCATCAGGTAAATAACACTACTGAACATTGTTCAGGTGATCATTCAACATATACACAGATATTTGAAATGCGGCGTGAAGAAACATGATCTGTGCAGGAAAGAAACCATGAACATATAGTCTTGCGGTTTCACTTCAATTATATACAGTATATAAAATAATATATATTTCAACAAAAACCTGATAGACTCTCTCAAATTAAGGCATTTCATGCACATTTTGATGTCAAGACTAGTATTCAGAATTAGGTCTTCATTGTAGTATATATCCTGAAGATATCGG